TCCGAACCCTCGGCGGGAGCACTGCCACGCTCCCAAGCGGTGCACTGTAGCAGTGCGCCACCGGGCCGGCCCTGCACTGGCTCTTACTACTGACGTTCCAGATCAATTCACATGCCATTCTGTCCCATCAAAATGTGCATCTCTTGATTAGTGGTATGTTACATCAAAGCAACTTCGTATTTCTTTTTGCAGGTATTCTTCTACTTCTCTTGTCTTAGCTGTCTCCGAGGTGGATGATAACCAAGTTGGCAAATTGAGTTTTTACACAAAGGAAGCCATACTTAAGGTAAATTATTTATTTTTTAAAAAAGAAGCTAAAGTAAAATAAAGCAATTTGCTCCTGTACTCCTTTAAAAAATGTAATATTTAATTCATATAAATTTGGCTCACATATACAAGAAAAGCTTCCAACTTCATACATACTACCTATGGCCTTGCCTCATCTGATGTGCACATTGGCCTCGTTTGAACCGTAGAGACTGCAACACCACTCACCGTAACCTCCGTTAGATGCTAAAGAGAGTCGCATATAGTCAACCATCTTTGCCTTAGGCTTTTAAAATATAAACTTGTTATTGGAGCTTTTATCTGATCTTTTTAACCCTGGCACTATTTTTTCCCCAGCCACTTGGATTTCTTTGCTTCTATGTGTGTATTTTTTTAAAAACACTGGTCTAATCTCGGCTTCCAAGAGCCTGCCCCTACACTGAGCACATCTCTGCTGGTCCACCAGAGCCTGCTCATCCTTTCCTGACCATTGGGGAAACATGATGCTCAGCTACAGAACGAGTCAGGCCCGGAGGCTGCCTTCCTGGGATGAAATGCTGCTTAGGGAGAGACCATATTCAGTAGCAAGGATCCCAGCAGTTTGATTCATATATTTACACTGTGCATAAGTAGTGATCTCAACCCTCAACTTACCTCTTTCTTTATGGGAGAAATTCCCAATACTTTTCCCATTTTCTTTTTTAGCTCTTGTTTCATTCAGGAGTGGAAAACATGCAAGTGACCCTTGCATGCCAAGCTGCTCAGAAAAATGCTTTGATGGTGGCTTTCCAGCAGGCGTCCTTCTATCACACCCCTGGAGGGGGCTGTCCTGCTGATGTCAAGGTCAGCCTGTATGATAGAGAAGATAGAGGCATGCTACTGTGAGCCAGGGTCAGGCTGCCCCTTCCTTCTTCCTTCCTTTCTCCCCTTCTATCTCCCTCCCTAACTCCTCCTCTCCCTTTCTTCCTCTTTCCTATCTTTTTATCTTCTTTCCTTTTTATCTCTTTCCTTCCATTCCTCCTTTCCTATTTATGAATCAATGTATGACCAAATCCTTACTGGGTCTCTTAATCTTCAGTGATTTGCTAATAGTCTTTCCTTTGTGTGTAACTCTATGATTAACTGTCTAGAACCATCCAGGAGGAAATATCTTGTTCCCCAGCCCTTACCCTTTTGTAGGTAGATGATTCCATTGTTTTCCGGTTTATCCTTCCCATAATTCTTTTGTAAAAGTAAACAGATACATTTGATCCTTTTTTCCCCTAGATTTTTTTGTTTTCTGAGTTTTTTTTGTTTGGTTTGGTTTTGTTTGGTTTGGTTTGGTTATTGAAATGTAATTCACATAACATAAAATTTACCCCATTTAAAGTGTATAATTCAGTGATTTTTAGTATATTCACAAGATTGCATAACCACCCCACTATCTAATATAAAAATATTTTGATCACTCCTTAAAGAAACCCTGTACCCATTAGCAGCCACTCCCCAATCCCCCTTCCCCTCAGTCCCTAGCAAACACCAACCTGCTTCCTGTCTCTAAAGAGCTGCCTATTATGGATATTTCACATAAATGGAATCATGCAACATGTGGCCTTTTGTGTCTGGCTTTTTTCACTTAGCAAAGTTTTCAAAGTTTTCAAAGTTTATTCATGTTGCAGTATATATCAGTACTTCATTCCTTTTAGTGCTGAAGAATATTCTATTATATGGATATAGCATATTTTGTTTATCATACAATGTGTTGTTTTTACTTTTTGGTTATTCAGAATAATGCTGCTATGAACATTTGTGTACAGGTTTTTGTCAAGACATACGTTTTCAATTTTCTGAGTATACAAGGATACTTTAAAATATTCGTGGAAAGATTCATATTATCTTTAATTCAATTTCTCTGTGAAGGTTTTGAAGTATCTTCATCTATCTAGGAATAGAATTGCTAGGTTATACGGCAACTTTATGTTTCACGTTTTGAAGAACTGACAAATTGTTTTCCAAAGTGGCTGCACCAAATTACACTCCCATTGATGATGTATGATTATTACAATGTCTCTACATTTTTGCCAATGCTTCTTATTGTCTGTCTTTTTTATTTTAACTGTCCTAGTAGGAGTAAAGTGGTATCTCATTTTGTTTTTGGTTTGTGTTTACCTAATTACTAAGACATCGAGCATCTTTTTATGTACTTATTTGGCCATTTGTATGTCTTCTTTAAAGAAATGACTATTTAAATCCTCTGTCTCTGTATAAAATTGGATTTTTTGTTTTTTTATTGATGAATTGTAAGAGTTCTTTACATATTCTGAATACCCTTATAAGATATATGATTTGCACATATTTTCTCCCATTCTGTGGATTGTCTTATGAGTCCCATTCATCTATTCTTTCTTTTGTCCCTTGTTCTTTTGGTGTCATTATATAAGAAAGCATTGCCTAATCCAAAGTCACAATGATTTACTTCTGTGTTTTCTTCTAGAGCTTTATAGTTTTAGCTCTTACATTTAGGTCTATGGTCCATTTACACTTAAGTTTTGTATATAGTCAGAAGTGGTGGTCTAACTTCATTTTTTTTTTTTTTTTTTTGCATGTGGCTTCTCAGCTGTGCCAGCACCATTTGTTGAAAAGACTCATCTTTCCCCATCATATTGTCCTGGAACCCTTGTCAAAAATCAGTGGACCATAACTGTAAGAGAGTTTTTTCTAGACTTTTAGTTCTGTTCCTTTGACCTACATGTCTATTTTTATGTCAGTACCACTATATTTTGATTACCGTAGCTTTGCAGTAAATTTTGGAATTAGAAAGTACGAGTCCTCCAACTTCATTCTTCTTTTTCAAGATTGCTTTAGCTATTTTGGGTCCCCTGCATTTTCATGTGAATTTTAGCATTGTCTGGTCAATTTCTGCAAAAAAAATTGTATTTCTTTTGTTAAATAATCCCAAAGTATCTTATTCTTTTGATATGACTATAAATGGGATTGTTCTCAATTTAATTTTCAAAGTGTTTATTACTAGTGTATGGAAATACAGTTGGTTTTTGTGTATCTATGTTGGATCCTGCAAACTTACTAAACTGGTTTATTAGTTCAGTGGTCTGTGTGTGTGTGTGTGTGTATTCCTTAGGATTTTCTATCTTGTATATTAGGATATACAAGGTCATGTCATCTATAAGTAGAGATAGTTTTACTTCTTCCTTTTCAATCTAGACACCTTTATTTCTTTTTCTTGCCTCATTGCCCTGCTAGACCGTCCAGTACAAGGTTGAATAGAAATGGTGAGAGTGAATATTATTGTCTTTTTCCTGATCTTAGGGAGAAAACTTTTAATCTCACCATTAAGTATGATAACTAGCTATGGGTTTTTTTGTATATGCCTTTTACCAAGTCAAGGATACTCCCTTCTATTTCTAGTTTGTTGAATGTATTTTTTATCATGAAAGGGTTTTGGATCTTATTTATATATGTTATTTTCAACTTTGTTTACTTAACTGTACATCCTAGAAATCATTCCAAATCAGTTCATAGAGATTTTTCCCTATTCTTTTTTAAAGCTACATAGTTCTCTCTTGTGTGTATGCCAGTGCATGTAACTTAAGTATAAAATTAGATGTGGTTTTAAGAAATCAATTTTCCAGATGGTCTTAAACATTCTTTAGTAGAGTTCATACATTCTCTTCAGCTCACCACATTTACCCTTTGTCTCATTTATCCACCTCTATTTATTTTATTCTTTTCTACTCTTCATATTAATAGGAGAGTACAAATTTATGGGTATGGCAAGAATGCCCAATCCCTGCTCCATCACCAAATACTAATTCCCATAGAAATTAAATACTGCAGTGAAAATAGGAATAGAGTGAGTTAAATTGATTTTTAGAAATTCAACCCCCCGGGCCGGCCTGGTGTCGCACTGCTACAGTGCGCCGCTTGGGAGCACGGCGGCGCTCCCGCCCGAGGGTTCGGATCCCGCATGCAGACCGGTTCCCACTCACTGGCTGAGCGAGGTGTGGGAGCAACACCGAGGGTTGCGATCCCATTGCTGGTCCCGGGCCGGTACGGGCGCGACCCTGAGGGTTGCGATCCGTTGCCGGACACGAAAAAAGACAAAAAAAAAAAAGAAATTCAACCCCCCAAATCATGTCAGTGCTTACTATAACTTAGGCTCATCAGATAATACTGAGGTGCAATTCCTACTTATGAGGAACTTATTGGCCAGTGTGCATAAGGGGGACAGGGTCACAAGTGGCTCAAACATAAGGCATAGAGAGGTTTAATAAGCCATGAAGGATTTTAAAGAAAGGAAAAGTCACATCTGGGGACAAGGAAGGGCAGCACAGAGAGGGGGAATTTGGGAAAACCTAAAGGATGAGTTTTTAGGGAGGGAGAGATGACCAAGTGATCATTCTGAGTAGAGGGAAGAGCCCCCAGATACTCAGCCATGGAAGCAGGAAAGGACAGATGGGGACCAGGAAAACATGAAGAGCCAGGCTTGACGACCACCTGTGGTTTTAATACGTAATTGACAAATAGAGTTCTTTATTCAATTAGTTTAATCTTAAGAAGAATACCAATATAAAAGACAGAGATAAGTGGGGCTGTGAAGGTTGAGGGCTTATGAGTCATCTCCTGAGATCCACCCAAAGAGCACGTGTTGAAAGACACTGGACAGGAGCACAGTACGGGTGGGGAGGCGTGAGAGGAATAGCCTGGAAAGACCTGCAGCACAGGAAGGGATAGGGAGGCATTAGGGTAATAGCCTGGAAAGGTGGGCTAGGACTGTAAAGTGGATGCCCTGAAAGACCCAGCTCAGATATCATCTCCCTAGGGAGGCTTTTCCTAATTTCTCAGATCACTAGTTACTATATTTTCAACATATGGAATCATTTGTACTTTGGTTGTAATGTTTTCCACATTATACTGCCTGTGAGAACTTCCCCTGTATTTGTCTTTGTGTCTGCCTGGTATTTAGTAAGTACTATTTGTTGAGTGATTGTTGAATTCATACTTAACAGAGATAGAAAATGCCGAAAGGTTTTTGAGTGAAGGGAGGACCTGATCTGAAATTCTTATCAGGAAGTTTCACTGTGTTTGACAGGTTGAAGGAGAGATGGATAAGTCAGAGAGACCAAGAGGCAAGAAGTGGTGAAGTCTTGAGCCGGGGGTGGGGGGTGGGCAGCCGTGGGGATGAGTGGGGGGATGGGTGTCAGCAGCGTTGTTGGGATGCACGCACCACACGGGCTTGGGGCAAAACCAGGGAATAAGTCTGTGGACATGGTTGAAGATTCCTGGCAGGTTGCCTTCCTCCACTTCTCACCCTTTAAACTTATCTTACAGCTGCGACCATCCTTCCCTCCACCCTCAGAGTGTGAAGTGTTCCTCGTCTCAGTCAAGGTCAACCCTTCCCACCAACGCTCTTCATCCATTTGCTCCCATCTCTTCTGAGACGTTGCTTCACGGGACATCTTCTTTCTCTACTGCACTTTCAACCTTTCCTTCTATTACCTCTTTCCACTTATGGGTACTTTCCACTTCCCACTTGTGGGCAGACTGAACTGTTTCATCCTCTCTAGAAGGCTTATCTGGATCCTGTGTTCCTCTCTGGTCAGAACCCTAATTGTGACCTTTTCTTCTCATTCAGGATTATTGAGAGGATAGTCTTCAATTTTCTGTCTCTATTTCCCAACCCCCATTCACTATAGTCTAGCTTCCTCTTCCACCACATCCCTGAAAGAGTCAGCAATGACCTAACTGTTAAATCCAGGGGACACTGCAGGCATTTTACTTGACTTCTTTCCTCTATTTAACGCTGTTGACCCCTTGTCTCTTGTCCTTGAGACTCTTCTTCCTCAGCTTCTCTGACTCCTCTCTCTCCTGGATCACTTCTACTGCTTTAATTGTTCCTTCTCAATTTCCTGAGGTGGAGACTCTCTTCTCCACCCATCTCTTACATGGTGGTGTTTCCCCGGTTTCCTCTCTCCAGAACGCCTTTTCTCCCCTTTCATGTCTGCCCTAGATGATCCCATTAACTCTTGTGGTTTAAA